ACTCCGTAGTCTTTAAGCCCATTAATAGCACTTAAGGCTGGCGTTACCAGTAACGCCAGCACTTTATGTACATTTAGTCCCTTGTAATGGAGGGCGGGAGAGGTCCTGGCGAACTCTATATAAGCCACCCTCCTCCTCTGGCACAAGGGTTCGCACCCCCTGTAATATCACTCACATAATCCAATCGACCGCCTCCGGGCACCGAGACATAGGGCTGTTACTTCCACCGAGAAGAGCCTGAACTCGTAAACTCCGTGTGTACACCTTCGCCATAGCTGAGATCTTGCCTCTCCATACCTACCCCCCTTTCTACTGTCAGACTTAGAACCACGACGGGCTCTCATCAAGAGCAAAAGTAAGAAGAGTGGTGACACAGGAAAGGCGTCCGCAGCTGCTTGATGTATGGTCATCAGTCTCTTCAATTGTCCATATGGCCTGACTTGTCTCTGTGGTCTTGGTGGTGCTCGTGGTCTCCGGCCGAGCTACTCTCGTTGGGGGTGTCTATGCGATGTAGCTGTGTGGAGGTAGGTGGTCGTTATGTGTTGGGTATGATTGTCAGGCTGATTGTGTGCTTATGGGGTTACATGTTATGTGAGTAGTCCTCATGTGGTAGGTTTGTATCGGTTTTCGCCCGGTTTTCCATTAATTAACTGGGCAACTCTCTTCTCCTTAATTAATCGATGAGGCAAATCTTTTGCCTCCGTTTCGAAAATAATAATAATTTGCATATCTGTTAATTTGAATGAAAATCATGATTGGATAATTTCCTCAGAATTCTACTAGTTTCAATTGGCTAGAAAATGTTCTCAACGAAACTCTTTCTCTTCATGGTTACAAACCCATAATTTGACAGTCAATTTTTTCAATTTTCTATGTTCTAGTTTCTAGTTCCATTGTTTTTAAGGAACACATCAAAATAAGGCAAATATTGAGAGCTTGAACCAATTGGCTTGAAAAAATATGAATTGACTGAGTTTTCTTCCTTTACATGTGTACACACACATAATTGGACAATACAAGAATATCTAATTAGTTTTTAATGTCCATCTATTTCTACAATTAGATTCTAAGACTCAGACTAATCTAATTAAGGATAGTATAACCGCACCCTTTCCGAGCTCTTTCACGCCTCTGATGATTTCGGCTGTTTGATCTCGTGGTTGGTTCCTTCCTGGTCGTCCGATCTAATTTTGCGTGTGAGAAGTGGTCTAACTGTCCTGACGGACGCTGCTCCAGTAGAAAAAACGAAGATCTGGGGTTAATTGGGCTTTCGTCTGTAGAAGCCCATATAAACCTTGGTCGACCTTTCTTCTCCCTTGGGTCAAGTTCCACCGCTCGATCTATCTCACATCCCCATCTCGCAGCGCACCCTCTGCTCCCCGACACCGCCGCCGGCAACCCTTACGCCCAAAGTCTTCACGCTTGCGTCCACTTAAAACCTTCGCTCTGTCCCGACACCACTTGCCATTTTCCCCTCGCCCAATGCCCCGCCCTCGTCAAACCATAGGTGCCCGACCGACTCCAACGCGCCCTCTCAGTCTCAGATCAATGGGGGCGGCACCGTCGACACCGAGGTTGGGCGAGGCGGGCGCCGCGTCGCCGGGGGAGCAGATATTTGCCGCGCTCGTGGGCGACAAGGCCTACCCTATCTCCTCCGAGTTCTGGAGGCAGCTGCTCGAGCGGCCCCTCACCCAGCAGTAGCAGCGGGACCGCGTGCTGCAGGCGTGCGACGCGTTCGGCAGGACCAACGACTCAAGATCCACACCACACCTCCCCCTGCGGTTGCTCTGATCGCTTCTGTTTCTGTGCCTCTTGCTGTTGCTTTGGATGATGATTACTTTTTGTTTTGCGCCATGATTTCTTCAGGCAAGTGAGCTCCTGTTGTGTCTGCCGTACAATGTCCGTCCAGAACGCCTAAGCGAACTAGGCGCCAGGCAAAGCCAAAACGCACAATTAGCGCTAGCACTTTTTTGAAATTTGGCACTTCATAACATGCTTCACCATGATGTGGTTTTGAGGTATTCTTACTTCTATTGATGAATTTAATCATTATGGTTTACCAATTTATGGAAATTGGTTATACTAGAGCCAACAAATTGGGGTATGTGTATATATAATTGACAAGTTTCGGCCTATCCCAAGCTGCAGGGCTCATGATGCTAAATTTTGTTGCTAATAGGATTTCATGAATGACAATTTGTATTTCCTGTGGTAAGATGGTTGGGAAAAAACCCACATAAATCTGTGTTGTTTCTAGAATATGCAGTTCTGGAAATATGTGTTTTCCTCTTATGTGCCAATATATATTTTTTCCTTGAAACACCTGCATTGCAGCTAGGATATGCTATTCACATAAACTTCTCACCTGAAAACAAAATAGTTCTTTATATTTTTCTAAATGCTTTCCTTTTCTTCAGATGGTCCCATAAAAAAACGACTTTCTCCTTGTGTTCAGAGTATTGATAGAACTCCTACCAGAAACATGACAACAATGAACCCGATTTCAGAAGAACTTTGGAAAGAAAGTGTTGAGCATAAAAGGGCGATCTACTATAGTGGTAATGTGTTTATTCTTATATTGGGTGATATGCTTTTTTTGTCTTATGTTGTAGTGGTAATGCCAGGAGCATGCTTGTACAAATTATATCATAATATACTCTTTATATTGTGCCTTAGTTTAGTTTTCACTTGTGTTTCTTTGAGCAGTTTCAGTGAAAGCTTGATGATGTTGCACTTTCAAGTGCCGGTGATTGCTATGCGTCCACTAAATCAACTAAACTTTCTATTGATTTTGTAGCTGATGTCGTGGTAAGTAATCACATCACATTCATATAATTAAGTTTGTAATGTACAATCAAGTGCAACTCCATTCACCTTCTTCGATCCTTATTCTGTTTTGGAATCATGGTCAGTTTATGAGATGTTAGTAAAATCTTGATAGGTGGTTTGTCCGATGCCTTGGGAGAGGTGCCATCTGCACAGGCTTCGCCTGACCACAATGATTGGAATATAGGATAACCCAACAAATAATCAAATTTGAGTATGTGAAATGAAGCAAAAGTTTAGTGTTCCACTGATAATAGAAATGAAATTCATTTATGCTATGTAAAGATATTCTTATTATTCTACTGAATTCCACCGAAGACATCCCATTTAGCTGACTTGATCCCGACAACTGCTTGTATGGTATTTAGTGTACTGTTTATTTAATTTTCTAACTAATTAAAATCCTTGCTAGCGCTGTTCTTCGTGAGTGTGATGCATCCAACACAAGAAATGTCTAGGTGCACCAGATGCGCCGAACATGGCGGCCCTTTGGGTAGAGAGGCATGTGAAGATTTCATTAATGCACCATGTATACAATCTATAATGACAATTTATGTCTCCCGTTACATGTTCATTTTTGCCGCGGCTTATCATATGCCTTGCAATATGGATTGGTTTTATTTACTAAATACATTGATGTGTATGTTGTCATACAAATCCAATTTGTACATGTGAACCTTACCTTTTTACCAAAGTATTTATGAGTTTTTCATTGATTATTGACTAATAAGGTTATGTTTGTACAACAAATATAATATTATCTAAAAAACTAAAAGTATAATATATTTATGTGCCCACATGTACAGAACTTCCTATCATTTAATTGTACTAATAGATGGGCGCGGCAACGCGCGCCATTAATGATCTAGTACTAAAAATAAGCTAACCTTTTGTTGATCGTCTGGTCACCCATCCGTGTGTGTGCGGCCGGCCGGATTGCGCCTACGGTCTGCGGATCGGCACGACGGGGAGTCGTGCCATCGGGGACAGTCGGACGGAGGTCTTCCCTCCTCGGCGGATGGAGAGATTCGATGGAGAGGTGGACGATTTAGATCTACTGGGCGGGCAGCGGCGACAAGGAAGTTTTTTCGATCGCAGGAACCGAGGAACGACGAACGAGCACATTGTGAAAACGAAACGATCGTGCTTCGTGCGTACATCGTGGACTCGCTGGTGGTCGTGCGTATTGCTTCCAGACTCGTTGTCTTCCACGAGGGCTGTTTTTATTTTTATTTTTTCC